AATCATGGTACATCAGTCGTCTCCATTAGTATATTTTGTGCACTGTTCCAAACTTAAGGTACTCGGATCCATTTTTATGGTACATTCGTGGATAGAAATACCCTTAGACAGGAATAAATTGGCGGCTCCCAACGCTATAACTACTGAGGGAATCGTCTATATTAGTTAACACAGCATGGTAAAACGGAGATGAGCACTCAGTGCGTCATCAAAGATTTGCGAGAAGCCCACTCCAGTGGTATTGTACTGACCAAATGGGATCGGTCCCCAAAAGTGTGAGATCAAAATTTATCTTCCAAAAAATACGCCATCAATGATTTGCGATCCAGATGGTATGTGAGATCCAGAAAAACAAACTGTATTTACAACTGCGTGCCTTACCGTGTGGTATTGAACGCTAACTGTGAGCATACATGATTCAATATGAGTATAAAGCAACGCCATTCGTTTGGTGAAGTGCAATCACCGCGTTCGTGTGAGTGAGGCTTTGGTATTTAGAAACTAATACAACACGTAATTTAAAACGATCAGTAAATAGGCTTAAATTTCCTATTTACCAATAACGGTCACTCGGTGAGCTCACATGTTTCTTGTCGTTATTCGATATATCCACTATCGTGTGGTTTGAACTTCGTCAGCAATAGCAACCGTCGGTCGGGAGGCACGACTTTGATTAATTAGACACGATTCTCCTACCTCCTTCCGTTAGTCGTGCTGTTCTTCTCACTGTCTCTCTCTCTCTCTCTCTCTCTCTCTCTCTCTCTCTCTCTCTCTCTGAAAAGAATCATAATTGTGGATTTTGCCCTTATGTTTACTCTTCGTATTTTGGCAACCGGGGTCTACTCTTTCACTACCTGAGTGAATTGTGGGTCCACAGCGGATCTTTTAGGTGTATAAAGTGAGCCCTCGAATCAAAACCATACGTGTACCGAATCATTTGCCGCATCTAGAAAGATGCTTTGGCATAGGTCCGCAGCAGACCAAGAATTTTGCAGTTTTGGTTCTCGTACTAGAGTTGCAACTGGGTCAGCGAGTGATGATTGCGCTAAGCAATTCACGAACTTAAGATGTACTGACCAGTACTTCATTTCATCACACTACGTTGGAGCATACATTTTACTCCCGAGAATGCACATCACTCCCTCAGTATTACGGGAAACGGTTGTGTGTAATATGTACAAACGTATTGTGACTAAACGACATGTTTTGAAGTCCATTTGCTAAGCTTCAGTGCGATATTCCTGACTTTTAAAAGCGCTCTCAATACATCAGGCACGCGTGACTTCCCATGGATACCAGTATTCTCGACCGTTCTAGTAGCTACATGTTGAGAGAGGACGTACTTGCTAGAGTTGTGCAGAGTGTTGTCATGTCTAATAACAACCTACTCATATCGACTAGTGAAGCTGATTGTGTCATCGACAACCGACAGAAAGCACCGCAACAGTTTCTTACTGCGTGGTTCAGCAAGAGCTTCAACCTAAGTTACGAAAATGGCAGGATATATACTAGGTCACTGACGACTTTGGTCACGCCATAATCATTGACTTTGGTCGCGTGACCAATCCAGCTGATCACGTATTAGCGCGTGTCCTAATAAACGTTGATCACGCATGAAAAGCTTAAAGAACGATGCTGCTTCTAGAAGCATGAAGCCATTCAGGGATTCATCGGGAAGCAACCAATTCGCAAGTCTATTATTAGATAGTTGTAATTGCCAACGTAGCCGTATTAAGACACTTCAGCGAGTGGCGGTCGGGAGATCATTGTTAGAAACTCTTTTAGTTGCTGATGAGTCGCTCACCCTCGTCGTCCAGAGCGCGTAGAGCTCGATACTCGCCTACATCCCGTCCGCGAACCCGTTCAACAAGTCCCCATTACACACTAGAGGATAATGAAGCGTCGTTGTTGACGTTAGTCGAGTCTTCCCCTCCAACACAACCAGCAACGCCGACTCCGATCCAACCGCCAACGCTGCGCTTGCCATCTGCAACAGGTTCATACGCAGCCAGCCCATTATCTCAGTGCTCGCAGCCTGACCAAGCTGTCGAGGGTCAAGCGTTGATACCGTCTTCTCCTGGTCGTCCTCCACGTCCTCCACGAGTTTGATCGCCGCGGACATTTCCCCACCAGCAAAGCCGCGATGGTAAAACCAAAATTTACCACCAGGGTTTTGAGTACACTCGTGCAAAGATTTCTGCAGTTAAAATAACCTACAGATGCAGCTTCTATAGGAAGCCAAAGCTGTGTCCTGCCGTCTTGTACTTCTACGCTGATACTATGACCTACGACTTTAAAAGCTCAGCTCCACATACATGCAAAAGCAGACCCGTAGCTGATTTGGCAAGTGATGATTCGGTCTGCGTCAATGTGGAAGAAGAAATGAAAGCTTTTGTCGATGATTTAGCTGAGCAAGATATTTCAGCAAACAAAATTTGGACGCTGACATATAAAAAGTTTTACGAAAACTCGACTTGTGTTGTTCGTGGTCTCTCTCGCAAGCAAGTGGTTTCACGTGTTGGAAACTCAAAATCGGGAAACAATATTTTTTCTTTACTGGAGAGTCCAGAGAGATCCAAAGTATCTGGCAGTGATCTTGGTTTTTTTCAGTTTCAGTACGTGTGGCACGATGACACTAGAGCAAAGCAGAAAAAGTCAGGGATTGAGAGGCTTGTTGGCTGGTCGCACCCGGAGCTTCGCAATTTGCTTCGTATTGACGGTGCCCATTTGTTTGTTGATGGCACATTTCGCTGCACCCCAAAGAGCTTTCATCAGTTCGTGACACTAATGATGTACGACCAATACACAGAGCTGTTTGTGCCGGTATTTTTCACGTTGGCAACGAACAAAACTGAAACACTGTACACCAAAATGTTTACCTGCATCGAGTTTGCGTTGGGAAAGGACATTAAGCCCGGAGATGTCGTGTGTGACTTTGAAGGCGCCATGATTCTTGCTATACGAGGACTGTTTCCTTCTACACGCATTGTCGGTTGCTTGTTTCACTTCAAGCAAGCGTGTAGAAGGAAACTGAAAGAGTATCGCATGCCAAATGACGAGGCTTCAATTGCCATGTCGTTCGGGGTTTTTGACATGCTCACAGTAATTGATCCAGATAAAATAGCTATCCAGGGTGTCACTTGGGTGAAATGCGAGATAAATAAGCGTTGCAATGTAAAAGGACTGGCGTATTCTCGAAGAAAGTGGAAAATGTTTTGGAGATACTTTTCCAAAACTTGGTTGGAAACATACCCTCCTGATCTGTGGAATATATATCGAGTAAAAAGGGATATCGTGAATAGGACGAATAACCCTTTAGAGCGATTTCACCGCGAGTTGAATGCCAGGATGAAGCCTCATCCATCACTAAAGTATTTCGTTCGCTCTATTGAGGAGCTAGCCAGGGAGTATGTCGTACTCCGTAAAAGCATAATATCCGGCGATGCTGAAGCCCCTCTGAGGCCACCAATGCGCTTTCCGAGACGGGCAACTCTCCCTGACACTGGCGATACTGATAGCTCCTCCAGTGACGACGACGATGACTGTGCACCTGGCGGTGGTAGTAATGACGCTGACTCGGAGCTTTCAGACGAAGACCTGGGCATTGTGTACGACACTTCCTTTGACTACGAGATTGAAGACGATGAAGAAAAATCAAATGCCGCCTAGACTGCTAGTCATACTGAATACAACCACATTTGCATTTGATTGTTGTGAATATTATATTATTGCGGGTTGCCCTTCACGTGATCAAACGATGTTTGGTCACGTGACCTAATCATTTTTTTTTGCTGCTACCAAAGGAGATAGTGACCTGTGATAGTGATTACCTACGAAAATGAGAGCGAACAATGCAGTGGTCGACAAGGTCCTCGAGCTTAGTGAGGAACGGAAGCACCTCCAACAAGTTCTGAACCGATACCTAAGCAACCCAGACGACATAGCTACTCTCTTTGCCACAAACATCCGAAATCTCCGTGAAGAGATTGACACGCTCGAACAACAACGCCAGCACCTACGTACCTCTCGAGCACTGGAGCCACCAAACGATGTATGGCGTGCAGCAGCAGAATACTGCCGCTTGATCCGCCATGGTCTTCACCTCACCAGCAACCAGCTAGGTTTCATGCGAGACATGATGTCTCCAAATGTGGTGTTCAACGCAGCATACGGCCCAGAGGCTATCATGCAGCATTGGTTCTTCATGAACTGGTTCGGCGAGGTGGACGTGGAGCTCAAGGGGTGGGAGCTGACGGATGGTAATTCACTGGTTGCGATCACAACCACCAGTGTGACCATCACGAAACACACTCTGCGCAACGTGTTTCCGCACTTGCGCACCATCGACAACAGCGATCGGAACGGCAAGTTGGCAGAGCAACTTCTGCTCCAACGACTTGTTATGCGCGGATCTACACGCTTCGAATGGGATGATTCAACGTGCCGTGTAACGAGGGTGATAGCACAGAGCGACATGATGACGCCAATCTTGCACCTACTTGGTAACCTTGAAGATGTATCTCGAGTGTTTGAGCAGGCCCTCATTTCTCCGGAATTCCAATGGAACCAAATGCTGTACCACAATCCTATTCCTCTGCGATGCAGTAGCCCGACGCACTCACCAGTTCCTCGACTGTATTAGACGAACTGGTCGATTGCAAAAATGAAAGCATCACGTTCTCTTGCACTCAAACATTACTCAACGAATTGTGTATCGTCAATGAATTCGTTTTTATTCTTACGTCAACGTCGTCATTCTATCGTCTATGTAGTAACTATACTACTGATGTTTCTTGTCGTGAAACACTTGAGCATCGGTGACTTTTGCCAGATCTCGGACGAAAGCTCCAGCCAACAGGAAAAGCAGTGGAATGAACACGATCTGCGCGTTCACAATACCAAACATTGATATCGAGTTGCCGATCTCCTTCCAGCTGCCTTCATTCTTGACCAGGAACAAGAAGTGAAGTGCGAGTACGTCCGACATGGCTACGACCAGAAGGAAGTAGCGCGTTGCAGGCAGTCGAGGTTTCTTCGCATCTGCTGATGCTGAAGCTGATGGAAGAAGTAGAATCAGATGGAACGTACAGGCCACCACCATGAACGGAATGAGGATCTTGCCTACCAGTAATGCGCCCATTGTGAAAGGAGCAAACACCGTGACGAAGCGGTAGGTAGACGAGATCTCAAAGCTGCTCATACTAGCCACGTTACCCGTACCGAAGAATGCAATGTTTACTAGAAGCAAAAAGACAAATGCTCGTTGAATCTCGCGCCACATCGAAGACGTAGACGCTTCTGAAGCCTGAGCTTCCAACAGTAACCAGCTGACGAGTACAGCGCAGAGTACCACGTAGAATAACACCTCGTAGGCGATACTCAGTAGTACGAACGAAGGAGAAAAAGCCAGCACCACCTCAATAAGCCGCCTGACGTAAAACTCAGTATCAGTTTGGAAACCATCTTCATGGCGGTGGGTACCGGTTTCCAGGATACGAGATAGGCTGCTCTTGCGTCGTTGTAACCTCGCAATAAGCAGCACGATAGGAGCTCCAGACAGCAGCCAGTTAGCTACCGTGAGTGAAAACGGTGGCTTGCTTCGGTCGCCGTCCAGGTACTGCATAGTCCCATGCAAAGTCATCAACGACAGTATCAAAGGCGAGACACTCAACATGAATGACGGTCTCTTCCAGCTCGTCTGGTTTGATGTACTCTGCACTGCACTAGTAAACAGCAACGTCAACAGACCGCCGATATTCACCAATGCAGTGTGCTCGCCATATTCACTAGGCAAGTACGGGAACACTGAGATGAGAAGACAAGAGATCGTCCAACAGCGACTCGGTAATGTCGAACGTCCACTTTGATTCTCGTCATTTGTAGCATTGCCAACATACGGCCAGAACGCGAGCAGTGAAAAGAGAACTCCAAATACCCCTCGACGTTCATATCCAAACACCACAAGCTCCAGACATAACACAATCAGCGCGATCTCAGCCCACCGTTTCCAATGAGACTTGGATTTGTTACTTGAACCAGACACCCAGGCTTGTTGAATCAAGTCAATATGATTCCACGTAAACACTCCAAAAACTAGTGGAAACAGAAGGTACAAGTAGTACGTGATCGGTGAGCCTTCCAGAGCTAAGTATACGAATGCTGCGAATACAACAACGATCAACTTGATATCCAGCTGCTTGCCATGAGCACCAAGCAGCCACTTCAAAGCGAAGTCTCGTGGATGCAGGTAAGCCACTCCAACGACCACCATCCATCCAACATAGCCCAGCACGACAATACCAAGCAGGAAAAACCAGTCGTATCTCTGGAAATACTCCAGAGTCGCCAAGCAGATCTCAATCAGCTCCTGACTCAGTACTTCCACGCGTTCATACGACTCCGAATTATCACCTTGAATACTGGTCTCATAAGCTTCAGCTAGCTGCTTCAAGAGCTCAGGAACACGGTCACGGAACGGACCGTATGGCGCAAAGCGGAGCAATGTGCGCGATCGTTTCTCCTGTTCTTTTCGCAGAGCATGCAGGTACAATTGCTGCGCGTTTGATCGCACTGCATTGGCTCGATACGCTCCCTTTGCGAGGTACGAGAACGGCAGCACCCCAACCGAATTACGAGGATAAGGTAGACCCAACAGAGCACTAATAAGGGGCGCAACATCAGCTTGCATCACATCTTTCCGCACCAAGTTTTTGAGAGCTCCCCAGTCTCCAACCGCTGCTTGTTCGTGTTCCTCTTGTGCCTGTAATTGAGCCTTAACCTGAGCACGAGATTGGGTCGGTAGATCAATCTCAAACTCCCCTTTCTTCTCTACTGTTGTAGGCCCTTGGACACCAGCTCCCCATACTACCAGTGGGGTCCGCGTATTCGCGGGATCTCCGTCTCCATGAGCTCCTTTTAGTCCCATACCGTGATCCGCAGTAAACACATACGCTGTACGTCCATCGTAGTCGTAAAAATCCTCCACCATGCGATGAGTCTTCTCAACTAGCTCATCTACTAGTGCAATGTTGTTCAAATAGTCCTTTGAATTGGGTCGATGAGCGTGGCCATTGGAATCGATACCCAAATAGTGACAAAACACCACAACTCCGTCACTATGTAGCTTCGTATACAGGTTTGTGTCCTCTTTCGCCCCAATCAGTAGATTTTGCAAATGTCGGAAGACCCAAACGTCCAATTCGGATGCGTCTCCCTTGGCAAAGTCTTCTTCTTCGTGGGAATAATGCTCTTCATGTGCTTGTGACACATGACGAGCAAACATGGGGACGATATCTGGACTACCGAAGAGAAAAGCGGAGCTGCTTTGGTTGAACACTGAATCGAAGTCCACAGGGTTGTCTGCCCAGCCTTTGGTTACGGCGCTTACGTCCTCGTACATGCCGGCGAAGAGCGCCACGTGGCCGGGACGGCTCTCAGTAGGCACACGCGTGTGCGAGACGCCCCAGCTGCCATGTGTCTGCATCATATTGCGCAGGAAAGACACGCGTAGTTCTGCATTGGAATCCCGGGCGTTGGACGAAGTGTTCGTCTCGAAAAACTTGTCTGCTCTACAACCGTCGGCCACGAAAACTACGACGCGCTTGGCTGGTGGCGAGTCCGTGTAGATCACACTCTCGATATGTGGCACAACGGGAGACGTGAAGTAGATGTCGAAGATGCTCAGCACATACAACGCGTGGAAGAGCACGCCCAGCACCAGCAGCTGCGCTAGACCACCGCCTGCCTTGGTCATGACGTCAGGCGAGTTTTGTCCGAAGTGGAAGTGGCAAAGATACACTTGGTATTTGTAAGGCAAAAACGCTATTGTAACTGTACCTGCTCTAGTAATGAATGTATAGATAATTTACAGTTATACAGTATTTACATTTGGACGGTACATATGAGGGCGAAGGTCATTTTACTCTTGTTGGCCAAGCCAAAGATGGGCGGGAGCATCCGCGAGGAGATGGAGGTGGCTCTGCACGAGCACCGCTTCCTCGTGACGAAGCTGCTGGAGTCGCTCAACACGGCCTCTCTGTACGTGGTCGAATACCCGTTAGACCTGATCTCTGGCCCGTATTAATGACATTACCTGCTGCTCTTAAACCGCAGACCGCCCTCCACTATCACGGCCACGAGACTGCGCACAGTGAACGAGACGTTCAACAAAGTGCTCGAGAAAGACCGCGACCTACTCGCAGCCGTTAAGAAGCGTACGTTTTGGGGAGATTTAGAGCGATCAGGAGACGAATTGACACTGACATTGGACGTTTTAGTGGCTAGACACCAAGTAGCTCAGAAGGAATTGCTGCGCATTGAAGCCGAGATCGAGAACAAGAAGCAGAAGGTCGTGCAGTATGCTGCACAGTTGCGTCGCTCCCAGGAGGACATCGCCAACGTGCTGAGGAAGCACCGTGTTGTGCTACAGAACGCGAAGCAAAAGTCCAAAGGTAAGTAATATGTCTCTGAGGGTGCTCGATCAATAATTGTGACGTGGTTTCTGTCATTTAGTGGTGCTGGATCCACGCGACATTGTTGCATATGCACACCGTATTGCGGGCACGACATCAGCGCCCAAAGAGTGGCAACCTGGCGTACGTAAAGTTATCACTCGGTTGAGTGTATGTGACGTTGCTAACGATTTTTCGGTGATTTACTATACAGTTCCCAATGTTTGGATTCATGCCGCCAGCACCACAAGAGCACATGATGCGAGCGGGTGTACTCAGTCGTGGTATCGTCGCTGAGATCGTTACTCAGGGCCCGGAGAAATACACGTCTACTGCAGCTAGAGTGAAGCAAGACGGCGACAGTGAAGCCATCGAGAAGCTCAATATCCCTATTGGTTTGGGTGCCAGTGATGCGCAGATTCGTAAGCAAATACCACCTGGATGGAAGCCAGGCGACCCCGTGGACCTACCGCTCGATGCTCTACTGCACTACATGGGTCGGAGTTTCTTCACGGTGCACGGTATTATACTACCAGAGTCGTGGAAACCAGGCGACCCGCTCCCTCCGGACGCAATGGAAATGTTGCGCAAGAAGTTTAAACTGCCTGAGAAGCGTGCAGCACTGTATGACGACGAAGTGGTGGACGATGTCGAGAGTTTACGCAAGAAGCGCAAGCTGGAAGAGGGCGAGAAGGCCGACGAGGGCACAGCTGATAGCGATAGCTCCAGCGACTCGAGTGACAGTGACGAAGAGGCTCCGAACACTATCTCGCTCAGTCTCTCATCTTCAGAGGACGAAAGTGACGATGACAGCGACTAAAGTTACTCACTACACTTTGCTCTGCACGTCATTTTTGTCAATAACGGTAGTTGCAGTTTACCATAGTTTCTCAATTATGTATTTTTCTCAATTTTTTAAACGTCTGTTCTGTGTCAACCCATTACTTAATCGGGAAAGGTTTTTAAATAGGATACAATTTGGATAGCGTTTCAGCTCTAGCAGCTAAAGGCGTCAAGCTCTCTCGCTTTTCTTAGCCTGTCGAAGGCGCTTGTGTCTCGCGCAACGGTAATTCACTGTGATCGCCTGCTTGTGATTGGCCTGTCGATCGTATCTGGTCACTGGTCTCCTGCCTCCTCGCACCTTGACGGGTTCCTCACTCGGCGTTTTCACTTCACGCCTCGCCGCCTCGTCGGCTATAATTACAGTTATCTAACTAGAGATCTAGCGCGTGCAGCACCATCCACGCAGCTAAGTCGGGTTCACTCTGGTATTTGCAGCGTCCCAGTCGCGCCTTACGTCTCAGCTCTACCCTTCTCAACTAGGTTTTTCGCTCTCAGACACCATGGCAACTCGACAGGTTCAGAAGATGGGCTCGTTGGCCAAGCTCCGCCAACAGGAGGCCACAGCCACCAACGTGGCATCGCCTAAGGGTATCTCCATCAAGACACCGGGCAAGGTCCCGGTGGCACAGACCGGAGGAGACCATTCACTTGGACTACAACGTCGTCGACTGTCGGTAGTAAGCGACAACAAGCTGGTAGATGGGATGGCTGCGGCTACCATCGAAGACGTGGACAGTAGCGTGCAGGCTCTGGCAGACGGAAATTGCGCCGTAGTGGCCTTTGCCGGGTTATCCAAGAAGGGGTACGCTCCATACAATCCGCGCAAGAAGAACCAGGACGCAATGGTCATCAAGTACGACCAAAACACTCAGTCGCTGCTCTTGTGTGTATTTGACGGACACGGTGAAGCCGGTGATGGCGTGTCAGGTGCTATTCGCGACAAGTTTGCAGTGGAGCTCTTCGCTCACGACAAATTCGCGCGCTCTGGAGACATTAACCAGGATGCTGAGAGTCTACAGACGGCCATTTTGGATACACTACGCTCAGTGGAACAGGCTGTCCTGCGCGATCCGAGCATTGATACCGAGTTCAGTGGAACGACTGCAGTAGTATCGGTCGTTCGAGATAACCTCGTGGTTGTCGGTAACGTCGGAGACTCGCGGATCACTCGAGGCTTCGTTAAGCAGCTTGGACCTTCAGGTCCCGACGCGCTGGGATGCCAGGAGTTGTCTATTGATCACAAACCCGATCGACCGGATGAGAAGGCTCGCATTATTGCCAGTGGAGGTCGCGTGTTTGCTGTAGAGTACGATGACGGCATTGACGGTCCTCCTCGTGTCTGGCTTGGACACATGGATGTTCCAGGTCTCGCTATGTCGCGCTCATTGGGCGATGCCGTCGCACACACGGCTGGTGTGCTGTCCGAGCCGGAATTCACCACTCGATGGCTCGATGAACACGATCGCTGCCTCATTGTAGCCACAGACGGGTTGTGGGAGTTCATGTCGAATGAGGAGTGCATGGAGATGGCCATGGGACAGCAGGATCCGAAAGTTGCGGTAGATCTACTTATCATGGAGGCAAACCGCCGTTGGATGAAGGAGGAGCAGGTGATTGATGACACCACGATCATTGTGGCCTATATTGACACCGTTGGGGTCAAGGATGGTGTTAAGGTCGCCGCATAAACCTGAAGGCGGGTATATAAACTCTTCGAACGCCTGACATCTCTTCTCTTTCGACCCTAACTTGTGCTGCTCTAATTTAACGTTAATTAAATAAAGCTCCACATCGCCCTTTGTAGTTTGATATGACACCTTCGTAGTAGCTGACAAACGATATGTGCACTGAAATGTTTGAAGAAATGTAGGTGTGATTCACGTGAGGATGGAACGCCATCCTTGATGTTGACTCAATCCACTATGTGCAACACAACTTGTGCCTACTTGTGGCCAGAATGGACTTTTCAACCCGAACTAGAAAGACTTTGTCAGACCAGGAGAGTATGAGCTCAGAAGTCGTCGTCGTCGTCGTCGTTGTCTTCGTCGCTAAAGTACGTCCGTCGCTTCATCTGCACCAATGCCAACATAAAATACCATGAGCTTTATGTTGTTCCAAACAACATTTTCTGCGGTTCATACCGTGACTTTCGTGCGCTGTTTTTCCTCGGTGACTCCGACCTGGTTAAGCAGGTCAATGAGCTTGTCTTCGTCGATCTTGGCCGCCAGCTGACCGCGCTGCGCCATCTGGATCACCATATCCTCGATCGCGCGCGCCTTCTCGGGCTTCACGATAGCTATTCTAGCCACTGTATAGTGGGAAACCCCACAGCAATTAGAGTTCAGTTTATGATAAACGTTTAGCTGCATATTATAAAGCTACGTACAGCGCTCTCGAGCGTCGGGTAGCATAACTTGTTGCACCAAGGACTGACGCATCTGCTCCTGCTCCCTGTTGACCACCATACTCAGCCACTACCCAACTTTTCACGAGAATAGACTGAGGTCACGCACTGCTGCTTCATTTGCTGCTGCTGCATCTGCTCCATGGACATCTGCGGCTGGGTCGCAGTCTTCTCCTGATAGCATACGATCATCGTTAGCGATTCAACATAGTGTCGTACAGCGCCACAAGAAGCTGCTTCGGGAAATGAGAGAGAAGGGAACGAGGCGGGCGATACAAGGCTGTGCCAAAGCCTCAGAGGCAGCAGATAACTTACGCTCATGCTTGCAGCTTGGAGTTATGCGATCCGAAGTCACTAAAATGATAAGTGACACTGGCCCACAGCATAAAATTCTATCATCCAATCAAATGTGAGTGCACAAAACTGCAGTTTCAGCCAATTGCGAATCGGAAAAAAGACATGTACAGTGCCTACGGTAATTAGTCTGCGTGAATAAATAGTCACAGTTCGAAATTAGTCACACCGTTCGAAGGTGAGACTAATTACCGTGAGCAAGAAAATGTCGTGTTCAAAATTAGTCTAAGTTCATAATTAGTATCACCTTATTTCGGGCATTCGAATTGGCGCAGTGGAACATGAGTTTCTGCTATCCTTTAGAGATTAACACAAGGAACTAGCTTCACTTTGCGTGGGCAAATGGCTGGCTTTATTTGCGGAGTTAGCTCTGCTCACTGCTCGGAAAAATGCGGAATGATCTCGTTTATATAAGTGCAGGGCCACTGTCTACCAGGTTCTTCCTTGGCCGACTGTTTGATTGTCAAACGCTGGTGGCTGGTGAGAGAAGTCATTTGGATCTCAATTCTCATAGGAAAATACTGGCCCGGTTTACAATCCTGGCGTGAGTTCGAGTCCCTCCGCAGCAACGGACGGTGCTCGCGTTTTACTGGTGATGCAATAACAGGTCATTTAATAAATGTGGGTTTCCCACTTACCCTCGACGCGGCATACTACGAAGCAGCGGGTTATATATATAATGATATGAATTATACTTTTAATAACAATAATAGCTATGCAGTTTTCTTAAGCTTATTTGAAGAGCAATTAATATCTTATAATTCGAAATGTTAATTTTATGGGGCTGCGTCTCTTGGAGGCTACTGTGGGCTATTCTCATTCCAGAAATTCTTTTAACACAACAACGCACCTTCTCCTTCTTAAACCGGTCTTATGATGAGCTCCAACTCAGCGCAACTTGCCCCGTGTGGTGACTATAGTGACCTCGTTGGTCCTATTCACATCTGCCCAATCTGCTTTGTTCATATGCACCCATTTTGTGGGAAATCTGTTGGACAAGAGGGCTTTGGACAGCATGTTGTCTGTCCAGACTGTGATTCAGGCAAGCCTCAAGCTATATCAGCTCCTCCTGTTCTCAAAGCTTTCGCGCTTCAGGGAAATAAAGATGCGATCTCTTCGAAGGATGCTGCCAACGATGTCGACTCAGACGAGAGCTCAGAAGACGACATAATCTCTATTTCCAATGTGGTCAACGTGACTGAGCTGCCGACGTCAACATCATCTCGAGCGTCACAACAGGTTACCACCATCCAGAATCGACGTCGTGTCATCTCCTGGATGGAAGAGTATGAAAATGCAAATGGAGCGAAGAACATGTTCACGCGAGCGGTAGATCAATTTCCTGATATTTTTAACTCGTCTACTCGCAATGCTAACCTTTGCAAAGCGATGTCCTGGTGGAAGAATCGAGAGCAACTTCAAGCGCCACTCCGGGGTTCGCTATCGCTGCCAAGCTTACGATCAGACGGAACAAAGCGAGTGAACTCCAAGGCTTTGTCTGGTCGAGGTCGTCCTCGGAGCAAATGGGTGCTCTGGATCTATCCATTGCTGCTAAGTGAGATTGATCGATTACGTAAAGTGGGGTTGAAGTTCGACGCATCGCTGCTACGTCAAGTAGCTAAGCGTATCCTCCACGATCCACAAGCTCCCAGGGCAGATGAGGACGGGGCTGAGCTGTCAACAAAGATCACTTCACGCTGGGTGCAAACCTTTTTGGAGAACAACAACATAGTACTTCGTGCGGCAACAGGTAAACGACTGGTGAGCCCTCAGAAGGTTGAAGATATTGAGAAGCAAGTGGCCTATCACCTTGGCAAGTTGAAGCGTGGATTTGAGAGCGGTTTGTATGACGAGAATGCGATTGAAAACATCGATGAAACTCATTTCGTTGTAGATTTTGACAACGGCAAGACTCTCGGTTTCGGTGACGAAAAACAGGTGAAATATGCGGATGTTGTATCCGGAGGGGATGGATGACAATGGTCGTGCGAATCAGCGGTGGGCCAAGTGCACGTATATTGCCACCGATGATGAATTTTACGAACGCAGACCGTAGTTATCCTATTCGTGGAGTTAAGGATGACGTGGAAGGTGTGTGCTATCGTACAGGGCCAAAGGGCTGGATGGTCAAACGAATCTTTCGCAAGTATCTGAAAGAGCCTCGAGCTCAAAAGCCGGATCGATTAGGTCGTAAAAAGACTATATTCCTAGATAACTGCTCAAGTCACTTCGAGGAAGGCGAGTGTGCTGAAGAGCTTCAGAAGTTAAATGCTTCTTTAGCCTTCCTTCCAGCAAACGCAACCGATCTCTGTCAGCCGGCGGACTCATTCGTTATCGGAAAGATAAAGGACGAGTGGCGTCGAATGTGGAATGAGAAAAAGATCGAGTTGATTGAGGAGGAGGCATGGCAAAACGAACAGAGGTCCGATGGAACCTAGTCAGGAAAACTGAAGAACCCAGGAAAGCGGTTTTTCCTGTCCCTGGCTGCTAAAATACACGATGCGCCTGGAAGAAAATTAGGATGGGCACCCCGGGCGACAGGGGACCCACAACGAAGTGTTGCGATTGGCTAGAGAGGTGATATCCAGAGCGACAAGAGCCAAGCCACCCTGGATGACTGCAAGGACAAAGGCGAAGGACGAGAAGTTTCCCGGTTGGTGATCCAGAGCAGCCATGGACCAAGACTTGAGAGAAGAACTTGGATTGGAGCTGATGATGAAGGAATAAAGCCAACCCCAGACGGACAACGTAGAAGACACCTTGGAACTCCGAATGCTGACCAAGTGATGAACGCCCAGGACAATAGTGACCCAAGTGCCCTGAAACATGGACGGATGCCCCGAATGACGCAACGCCCAGAACGAGCGAATGGTGAATACCCTGAAGGACGACCCAGAATCCCGAATACCGATGATTTCGAGTGGAGCACTCCGGATGCCGACGGTAGCCCGAAGCACATCCCGGATACCGGACCCTGAAGATCCAGCGAGCTGACTGCCGAAGAGTTGTACCTGAGACCCTGGCGTGTCGTGGACCTCGAGCTCCAAGTTACTTGCATTGACTATGGTGGACCTGCCCGAAGCGTCGACCGTGCTGCCGATCCCAGATCCGAAGATCGTGAAGAGCCGCAATCAGTGATGAGTGTCCTGACATCCGGAGCTGTCAAGTCGCGTCCGACCATACTGAAACCAAGATATTCCGAAGAATGCACGCGGATTCCAGGCAAACGAGACCGTGAGGATCCAGAACCTTTACAAGATACATGAAGAAAAGAAGAAAGAAGAAGAGCCCCAAAGGGGGCGAGCCCGGAAGGGCTATAACTAAAAGATCAATAAGAGTTTGTTGTGCGTCCAAGAGCACAGGCCTCAAGAAGGATAGGTCGTGAAGTCTGTGTACTCACTGACGCCCAGGAAGGACCAACCGCCGGACACAATTCGCCGAGGATCGTCGGGCGCCTAGGAGTGACTGCCCAAGATCGAGGAGCACCCAGAACCGCAGACGCCAAGGTCGCACGCGCATTCCGAACGTGTGTGAAAACTCTTCTTACAGATTCAAGCCGAGACAGGTGAGGACCGGATCCGGAATCCGGGGTGAGTTACTTGTTTCATTTGCCCAGTTGGAATGTATACAACCCGAGTGTATACACCCATTTCATATTACCACTGCTATTTTGGGAGGTTTAGCTAGCGATCGCCCCCGAAATCTATATTGTTTGATTGCTTGAGTCTTTGGACTATTATTGTATATTCTCCTGGTTTTCAGGAGTGGTGCGCTGTGGGCATCCCAAAATCTACCTGTGGTCGGGATTGTCTAACTTTTGACAGGCTATTTGTAAACGAACTCTTATATATTGTATTTTTGTATTGGTTACCTGGAGGAGGTCTCTACCTGTGATTCCCTCACTCCATTCGGAACTACCAGATTGCTCAGTATCTGGAAGTTCTCTGCATTTACCCCTTTAACCTAGGTGTATCCTATATACGGTGGTACCGAAGCGCCAAGTTCAGCGATTCGACACCTACGAGGATAAGCCACAGGTCACACGCCAACTCGACTTTCGGGTTATTTCTGGTGTTAACATCCTAAAAGTTGCCCCCCAAGTCTGGGTCTCACTATACGCCCCTTTGTTGGCAGAGAGTTCACCGCGCTTCGCTACATAAAGCAGTACGCCAAGCCAACTCACAAAGGGACAAAAATAATATGAACTACGCTCGGAAAGCCATGATTCGATGTGGACTCTCGCTGGATGATAATGGTGTATGCTGCTTATACCTTTGCTTCACTATGATTCTCTTTTTCCAATGTAGGCAAATGCTTGAACCCTTTCTCGGTATCAGAGCGAATCTTTCGCCCTAAAGTGGGGGTTGCAAAGAACCGTAGGAATCAGTCTCTAAAACGGCATTTTGTTCGCCCTTTTACAAAAGTTCAACTGACAGATATACTCCAGGTTATGGCACATATTCTCCAGGCCCTGACGATCTTGACCAGCCGTGGTACGGCGAGACAGACTATCTTGATCCCACTTCCACAAACTATTTCCATCATCTTCCACACGTGGATCATTCTAATACATGCCTTCCCGTCTGAGATCCGCAGTCTTATGGCTGAGTCACGGCCAAATTATGCCATGTTGTTTGTCGCCCTTGATCAAATGTAGAAGTGAGTATATTAGCTTAGCCTGCGGTCGACTACAACTTGTGGTTACTCTATGCATGCTTCGTTCGTTTCGAAACCCATGCGCCGTGGCTTTTGGGGCTGCAACCCCCGCTGCCATGGCGCTTGTTAGCGCTTGCCGCGCTACAACACTTCCCCCCTGCGAAGCCTGTGTGTAAAATGCAGTGTGGCGCTACGCCACCTTCGTGTCACCGTCGAGTCACTCGCAATGTATCCATCCAGCCTCACCGGAAAACTGCAACCAGGTCGAGTCAACTTAACTTGACACCAGTGACCGAGTATCTCTACAGAGACAGGCCCAGTGCAGCACTCATGGCTTGCACAGCCTCATCGTCTTAGTGGGAGCGCACAAATGCCTTGACAGCGACCGGGACGTCCTGGAGTAGCACCGTTGCCGGTTCCCATGAGTCCTCGACGGTGTCCAAACAGCGCCAATGCACGAGTAACTCGTGCCTCTTTTCGTTAGTGTTGTACCGTGTAGACAGAAACGTGTCCACCACGAGCCCCTCGCTGTTGTGAGCGACGTGCCGGAGCAGATCCTCCGTGACTGCTAATGAGTTGTCTGCGTAGAACTTCAAACGGCTAGCATGAGCCTCTCTACGCTCACCCGTGACTAGGTTTTCAATTTCAAAGATCCAATTCGATGTCGCTGGAGTGACTTGAGCGGGCCCGCACCACTTTACGCGGAGCTTCGCTCGAGTGTGTTGCCAAACATCAGCGTAAAGGACGAAATCGCCCACATCAAATTGCGCCATAACCGTGCTTTTTCGCCATCACGATGGTTTTTGCTAGCTGCCCTTTTTCTTGTTCGCCATTGCTGTGCGTTTATGCATGTCTGCTAGCGCCGCTTGTAGTCTAGCGATGTTCTCACTCCTGCTGCGCTTAATTTCATCCAGTGTAGCCACCTGTATCGGCTCGGGCATCGCAATGCTGTCCGTGGGGTTCATGGCCCTTAACCCCGTCATGACTGTCACAGGGGCCACTCCATCAATAGCAGAGCAGGGAGAATGGTTCAAGACCATTTGCACAATTTTGATTACGCGAGGCCAGTCTGTCGGCTGTAGTCGCCACTCGGACAGCAGTGCCCGGCAGCACCGCAGAATCTCACGGTTTACAACCTCCACTGTGCCGTTTGCCCACGGGCAACGAGCTGTCGTAAAGTGATGATGAGATCCCATTGCGCGTTGCATGTCCTCGATTACCTTGTTCTTGAAGTGGGTACCTTGGTCACTCAACCAGAAGCGACACGCACCGAAACATGCAAACCAATCCATGAGAAAGTCAAAAGTGTTGTCAGCCGTTGCTGCATCTGTAGGCATCAACCAGACAAATTTCTATGCGTAGTCTTTTATAACCAACACATATTGCAAGTCTGAGTCACTTTTTCCCATGTACAGGTAATCCCAATGGATCACCTCATTGGGCTTGTCCGCGTGGACAGCTTCTCCAAGTGGGCGTGGCAGTGGTGGACCCCCAGTCGAACTCGCACAGTGCAAGCAACGTCTCACTAAAAACACGACGTCCTCCTTCAAGTTCTTCCAATAGAACTTAGCAGAAATCGCAGAGAAAGTCACATCCGAAGCGCGGCGCCCCGCCACGCCAAAATGCCCCACGACGCAAATGCGGAGCCGTAGCTCCGACATCTTCTCCGGGTCCAGATCTTGTCGCCCTTCACTAGCCAGATGCTGTTGTCGTCCGACTTATGGGCTCCTTCAGGCGGTGACGCACTCTCCTGTGCGCGGTGAACCTCCACAAGTGAAGGCCACGCAAACTCCGCATCCACCTGCAGCGACAAAGGCATTTACAGATGTCTTATTGCACAGATAGTTAGAAACGTCGAGCCCAACCTTGATAGTAAGTCGACCCACCTCCTGCAATATCAAAGATGTCGTAGTGATAAGCCATCAGGAGTAGAGACCAGCGATGAAGTTTGTCGGTCGTGTATTTGGGTACTGCACTGGACACTCCATGCGGGTCGAAAATGTACCTCAAATTTCGATGATCGGTGAAAAGAGCGAAACCATCCGCACGGTGCAACAGGTAGTCCGCACGCCGGCAAGTCTCCACTATCGCATAGGCTTCTTTCTCAACTATAGCCCAACGCTTAGCTTATCCCGAGAAAGTCCCGCTTAGCATCATTAACGGTTGGTGTTCTTGCTCGCCAAGGGGCCAGTGCTGCTGGTCAAGCGGTATTTGAGTTAGTGCTGCACCCCAGTGCAGGTCGCTGGCATCCGTGAAGACGCACAAGCGCTTGTCTGTGTCCGGGTAAGCCAGCTACAACGCCTTGCTCAATGTCGTCTTACAACGCTCAAAACACTCTTGATGTTCCTGGGCCCAGCCAACATCACTTAAAGCAACCTTGCGCACAAGTTGTTTTTTCCGACCACCCGCTTTCTTGTAGACTTCTTTCATGAGCAGTACTAGCGGATGCACTAACTTGTTGTATGCTAGTAGTGAGCTGCGCATCCAATTCAATGCGCATATAAACTGCTGCAATTCATTCCCTGTCGACGGAGGTGGCAAGCGCACCAGTGCCTCAATGCGGGCGGGGTCGTGACGCACACCCTCGCCCGACACCACGCGCCCGCACCACAGTGCCTCACGCAAGTAAAAAAACGTACTTCGACGGGTTCAGCTTCAGCCCTTTGTCCGCACAAATTTCCAGCAATTTTACCAGCAACTGCAACAGACCCATATCATCCTTTTCGTATCCCAAGAGATCGTCTATTCAGATGAGAAGCCCGTTGTTAAACACCTCCGCGAACATAGCTTGCACGGTCGACTGCACATGTACCACGCTGTTCGTTCCTCCCGTGAGAACGCGCGTGGGCGTGACCACTCCGTACTCAGTTAGAATATAGCAAATCTCCTGGCAGTGCACCGCCATGGCGAATTGGAAAATTCCTTTAAAGATATCTAGCGAGAAGTAACGGGACGATCCGCGTAGGCGATCAAATTCCACCTCAAGAATCGGCATCGGCCACACCACCTGTTCAACTTTCTCATTTGCTAGTTTTACATCCACAGTCATCCTGAAATTTCCCACTCCAGGCTTCCGCACCATGTGCGGAGGTGAGCATCACTTACTCTGAGAGTTCCTGTAACACAAACCAGCTACCAGCAATTCACTTATAAGCTTCTTCAAGAACTCACGGTGCTCTGGTGAGTAACGCCGAGCCCGGCACCGTACGGGAACTGCGCGAGGGTTCAATGTTATTTCCATCGCAGATCTAGCTTCGCTTTGCT